TTCATGCAATCTTATCAATACTGTGGCATTATTAAACAAGTCGAGTCTCGGCTATTTATACAAAAGCACAAATAAAGAAAGAACCAAAGCATGCTCACCTAATATACCCTATAAATGTTTGTTCGGAAAAAGGAATAAACTAAAACCAAAGGCAAATATGGCGATAACCAGCGATTTCTTATAAGCAGGCTGATAAGATTAGGCCACGCCCAGACGTGCCAAGGGTTAAATAACTTCAATTTACTTTTATATATGGGTGGGGTAAAACAAAATCATATATTTAAAACGAGGGGAAACTTATAAAAGTGTCAAGAAGCATTTGATGGGATCATAAATTTGAACACAGATAATAATTAAAATAAAAAAAGTTAACTGGCACATTAAATAATATAAGTGCCTCTGTGGAATACTCAAAGCGCACCTTGAACAAGCCAAAAACTAGTAAAAATAAATAAATATAAATGAATAAACAAAATGTTAATGTATTTGACATGCATTTGGTAGTTTGGTAGCTGTCAAGTGTTTACCCGTTTGCATTGACAAACGTTTTCTTAGCATTGAGTCACGACTTGGATGTTATGGAACTATAAATATTCCAATTGCGAACAAAAATTTGTTTTCCCTTTGGGGATTTTGGCCAGCTGATAAGACTATCAGGTTTGCTGATGATAAAAAAAAAACCAGACATTCTTGCCGAAAGTCTGCACTTCAGTTCGCAAGAACTGATGCACGAATCCAGCTAGAGGTTGGCTCAGGCACCACCTGTAACTGGGGCGGGTTCAACGGCAGTTCATGGGAAAACGCAGTTGGGTAAATAAACAGGCAGCAATAGATAGATGGATGCTGCTGTATAGATGAAGCCGAACAAACAACAATAGCCAGAGTAACAACAACACACAAAATGTAGGCCAAATAAATGAGAGGCGGCGCATAAACAAAAGTCAGCTCGAAAACTAAAAGTATAAACTTATCAGCGCAACGTGCACATCGAAATGCACTCGGTACAGTGCATAGATTGTTGTTGTTCTTCTTATTGGAAATAGTGCAATCAATCAGTGCAAGTAGATTTATAGATACTCCTCCCTAAACCAAACACTAAATGGGGCTACGGCACAGCGGTGGGCCATGGGCCTGGACACTTAACATTTTTGGCTGATTCGGTGAAAGGCAAAACAATAGAGAATTCCTTAAAAAGCAGCTCTGATCTTGAGGAGGAAGAAACTCGACTTTACTCTAGAGTGTTTAATTTGTCACGAAATGAACGCCTACAGATGTGTACGTTTTGCTGTTCCTGTAAATATCATAGCCAAATCCATCAATCAAATTTTCAATTCTTTACAACTTCAACAAATCGGAATACTTCATTCGATACGTTCGCTTGAAGGGTATTTCATCTTCTTCGAGCCGCTTTTAAGTTTTGGGGTTTGCAAACTGACGCCATCAACCGGTTTTGTGCGGCTGCCCCTTTTTTTGTTTTTGGGTACGCCAAGGCATTTGTACACGTATTTGTTATGTGCGAGCGCCAAAGTATCTTTAAGATACACACCGCGTGACTCACAATCCTCGTATGCGTAGTGCAGCAGAGGCAGCGGCAGCGCAGGCTTTCCATTTCATTTTCGAGATACATTTTTTTGAAATACACATATTCCAATCGAACAGGCACATATATACATATGCACATATAGAGCGAGATATATATACATATATAAGTAAAAATTTTGTGCGCGTCGTGCAGCTATTTCGGGATCGCGTTTATATAGGTCTGTGTGGGCTTATGGAGCATGCAGGGGCAGAGCATTCACATATTTACTATATTTACTTATGACAGTGCCAAAAAACATATATAAATATATAGCTTAGCTTTTACTGGGGCTACTAAAACTGTGTGCGTATGTTCGCGTTGCATTGTTCAAGTCCCTTTGTGTTGAATGACAAATTGTCAACTTAAACTTAAGACAAATGGCAATAAATATATATTTATATATAATTTGAACTATATGAATTTTAAACAGATAATTTCAATGCATTGTAGTAGTAGTTGATCTAGAGCCTTAAAGTCTATAAGCTCGCTTTAAAACTTTAAGAAAATCCCAGCTATATTTAATATCCCATAAAAAGATGATCTGGTAGAAGTAAATACATTGAAATAATAATAATATTCAATAAAAATATATGTGTAATACATATAATTTTTAATATTTATATGCCCATATACTTATTTAATCATACAAAATATTTAACATTCTAAGACTCTTCGCATAATACCCCACTTCTGTTTGGACTCCCACAGTCAAGGACTATTACAATAGCTAAGTATCTGAGTACACATTAGGGTAAATAAACTTCGGTTCCGTCCGCACAATTTGCATATACTTTATGACTTTTTGTTGTTTTATGTTATGCTGCTGCTATATTATATATGCCCCAGGCCAAGTACGCAGCACATGATGTCATCCCACACATAGTTGGGATAGAAGAAGAGCGGGCAAATAAAAAGGGGATTTAAATAAAAGGCATGTCTGGTCATAATACAAAATGCAGTTTTGGCCATTTCTTAGTTTTCATTTCATTTGGTTTTTGTTTTTGCCTTGCTCTTGTTTTGCTCGCCGCGTTGTCTGCTCGATAAAAGTGGAAAAAAAAAAAACGAAAGTGAGTTATTTATTTCTCGCCTGTTTGTGTTTTGTCTTTGGCTTTCAACATTTTCCATTGCAAATCGCATTTTGGCTCGTTTTCAAATAATTTGCTATTTTGTTTTTGAATTTGGCGCGTTTCTGACCCTCAACTGATTTGCTCAATGGGGTTTTCCTCAAAATTATTATATACATATGCAGCTTATACATCCAGCTATTTCTTTGGCTCATTTTCCGGTTTGGCTTTTATAATTTCTGTGTTTATAAATTACAAATTGATTTGTATTTTGTTACGTCTGCATTATGATTACATATGCAACTACGTGGTACGTGTTATTATCGCTTCCGAGGGGTAAGTTGTGTAATTAACAGTTTATGGAGCAACTTTAGATGTGAGTGCCACTCTTATTGATAAGTCTCAAAGTTGTCGAAATGAGTGCACTTCAGTTTTGGTGTTAATGTTGAGATGTCGCAAGGCTCTTAAGACTTTCTTATACAATATGTCAAAGGTATGTGATATAGGAAATGCTATGTACCTAAAACTTATTTAAATGGGGAAACATGTTTTTCCATTCCCTAAAAGTAATCATATTTATATATTCCTGATGTATAATAAGTATATTTCCGTCTATCTGGCTCTTAATCTTCTTATCCTATTCAAGAAAGAGATACTAATCAAGCTATATGTTAGATACTTTATCTTGTTATGCAGCTCCTCATATAACCCTATCCACTTGGGAGTTAATTTCAAGCTTTACCTCGAGGAATACATATATATTGGGATACATACTGTACTGCACTCGCCCAGATTCCCACATTCAGTTCGTCTCTAGTTGACTGCCCTGCAACGTATCTGCCATTGTTGTTATTGTTATTGCTACTGGTCAGTTCCTTGGCCCACGTTTAGTTAGTTACACGTAAAGTTGTGGCGTATTTTATTTCATGCAGCATGTGTCAACAACTTGTTGCATGCTGCCGGCATTGTCAACATTTGTGGCAGCCAACACGCTTTGGGCTCTGGGCATGGGTCGTTGCATTGCATGCCTCGCTGGGTTCTGATGTTTGTGGTTCGTTGCTTTAACGATGATGATCATCATATTCATTATCATAGTCAGAGCTGGGCAAACAGCGAGAGTTCCTATTGTTTATTTAGTTTGTTATCAGTGCGTCATGAAATCGGATTCGCTTTTGCCACTTTATGCGGCACTTTACGCAGCTTCGCTTTTCATTATAATGATTAATGGGCTTGATAGCGATAATGAGCTCTTTACTTAGCGCATCTATTCAAATGTTAATTGATTCATTTAGCATTTAGACGCCCGCCTTACTCAGTGTGACATACTCTATAAAATCGAACAGATCATTTCTCTATTTTGACTGCATTTAAATGTGATTAAATGTGATTCTATGGCTCAAGCTGATTCACTGTCCCACTGTCAATATATAAATATATATATATAAAGCAAACTCAACGAGGAAATTAATCACACAATATATACCAACACTTGTGTTTCCTCATCTATGATAAGGTGTGCCGACGTTTAGTGTTGGCTAATGGATTTTGCAGACGGCATTGCGGATCGTAAATGTATTGCATCATTTCTCTAATTAGGAAATGTTACGATATGGACATTTGAAACTCTCCTATTAAATTGGTTCTATAATAATTATAGTTTATCTTTTTGACAAAGTGAGGTACACTTATATTTTAAAATTAAAAGTCTTAAATATTTATTTATCTAGCATGACATTTATTTGTTGAATTTTTTCTATTTTTGTCTTAATATTTTTTATTTGAGCAAGTTTTAAGAACTCTATTTAATAGCCGAAGACCAAAAGAGAGAAGAAGATATTTAATTGTAGTTATTAAATTTTGTTTGGCTTTATAATTATATTAATTATATCTAAATAATAATGAAGTATCTTAAAAGTAAATCAATTGAAGAGTCAAAGTGAAAAGAGATCTTGAATGAGAGAGCTACATATACATATATAACGATGATAAATGATCGTAAACAGAAACAGATAAGCAAAGTATAGATTTTGTTAAAACATTAAATGCTTTAATGCTGTGCTTAACAATACCTAATTAAACATTTCAACACTTTAGCCAGCACTTCATTAGACCAAATCCTAACTCATTAGCGAACCGTTTCGTTACGGTTCATGTGACAAAGTGAAATACAGACAATGGGCAGCCCGCAAATGTGACAGTGGGTCAAAAGAGTCTAACACCTTGATGGGGCATGCGAATGGCTCCATTGAGTACGCTCTCAACTAGAACTGAAGGGCAAGAAGCTGCTGCTGAATCTGGTTGGGGCAACCTTGAACGGGGCATAAGGCTGTGTGGCAAGAGATTTTCGTACTTACCGCTTGCGCAAGTTGTCCATGAACTTCTCCATGTTGACCTGGTCCAGCAGGACAAAGTCCGCTACGCCCGCCTCCCGTTGCATGGCCATGTTTGTGCGTTTTTGTTTTGCTCACAAGCCGCAGAGAGCAAAGGCGAGCGTGAGAGAGAGAGCGGTGGGGGGAGAGAGACGCCGAAAAACGTAAGGCCTAAATTAATTGCCGGCTGTGCGCGCAATTCAGGTAACGAAGCAGCTGCCAAAGAGGACGAGGATGACGAGATCACGTTGAAGAAGAAGCAGCAGAATATGCAGCGAAAACACACAAAAAACAAAGATCAAGAATTCACGGAGCCTTTTCTTTATTTTTTATTTTTTTGTTTTTATTTTGCTTTTATTTGTTTGCTGCTACGTCACGTTTCGAATTCTTAATATATATACTTTTTGCGTTTGCTTTAATATTATTATTCTTTGCGCCTTATGCTTTACGACTCTTTTCAGCTGACATTGCCAAAAAAGAATATGAAAACTGAAGTGTTCTTGAAACACATATGTATATGTACGTATATTGAAATCAATAAATATGTTGTGCCAATTGGAGGGTTGTCGAATTGTTAATGAAATTCCGCCGAAATCGTTACACGGGAACAACACAAGACACACGCGGGGCAGACGCAAATAAAGCCAAGCACAATAGGAATACCGCAAAGTACGCGTCGTCTTTGGTTAACATTTAATATCTGATTCGATTTGGCGATCGACAGAGCTTGTTCAGGCCGCGCGCGCCACTGCCAGAGTCAGATCCAGAGACAGAGACGAAGCCAGAGCCAGAGCTAGTAAATAATATTGCCCCTAGCCACAGCCAGCTGGTTTTTTTTATTTATCGTTTCAGAGAGCCGCACCACTCACGCACACACACACACACACACGCTCACTGGAGGAACAACCACTCGGCTGCGCGTTCGAAGAGAAACTGTTCGGAGTGAAGCGACTTTACGCCACGCACAGCCAACGTAACCGCTCGCAAGTGGTTGCACTGAACGAAAAAAGAGCTCAATATCAATACATACTACACGACGGCTGCAACGTTCGAAGCAATCTTAAATGATATGTACATACAATTTTTAATTTGTGTTTTGAATAGATAAATGCGTTGAATATGTTTAATATATATGTATATCCTAATACATATATCATATATATTATATTATTATGATGATTTCAAACACCTTATATAATATACCCTTACTTGACCAAAATTGAACAGCGGATATATTTCATATATATATATGTTAATGTGTCATTTACGATTCGGTTTGATTTAAATATTTAAAAACATATCACAAAACAATATATATAAATAAATCCACTCTTGTGCCATTTCCGAAATCAACTTTTCAAATCAGTTTAATATCAATCAAAATAATTTCTCCGAAATTCACTGCAATCACTTGCCCAATTTTGTTCAATGTACTTCGCTTGGTTTGTAAAAAAGCAGGGTTGTTCTTGCATTTGGCCTACAGACTTACAAAGGTTTGCGTCTGTGCTAAAGAGTGGGTATGGGACGCAAGTGTTTCGTGGAAGTAATTTCTGGTGAGTCATGACAATTGCTTTTCACAAATATGACGTATAATAAAATTAGGTGATGCTAAACTAAATTAATGACAGAGTAATTCAGCAAAGAGCTAAAACTTAATTGCAATTTAAAAAACAATGACAAAAATACTCATTGCATACCTTCGGGCTAAAGTGGCAAATGAATTTTTTACATAGCTAAGTGCGAGGCTAACGGTTTGTTTTTTAGTTTCAAGAAATTAATAATTAAAATAAGACAATTAATATAATAAAAATGTTAATTAAATACTTAATATACTTAAAATAAAAATGATAATTAAAATATAATTAATAATAATAATATGATAATAATATAATTAATAATGATAAAAGCAGGTATTCTTTTTCTTTCCTATTTCTTCACTAAAAAAAAACTGCAAGATTATAGTCTTATATAACAATTGATTTTAATTGAAGAATTTTACACCAGTCAATAAATGAATCGAATAGTATGTTGTTTTTTTTTTTCGTCAAGGTTTCCGGCATCTGTACTACTGTTATGTTTTACCGGTCTGTGGGGTATACCTGACTATTTTTTTTGGTAATATTTTAAATTTTTTTTTACGTTTTCTGTTTTGTATTATTGTGAAATCATTTAACATAGAGAAATGCAAGCAGGAACATCCTGTCTAAGCCCAACCCGTATTCTTCTTGGACAATACCACCTTCTGCATGTGCTCATCGGCGGTGTGGATGGTGTGCAGGCCGCCGGCGTGACGTGGCACACATTTATTGACAGGCACTGTACCGCCTAGGCCCTGGGTCCAGGCATTGGTCGAATGGGGAAACTCGTCCTTGCGGTAGTAGCCCATGATGCCCGATTTGCGGATCTGGCCCAGCTCATAGGTGACCATTGGACCGATGCTGTTGGAGGCCTTAGCAGAGGATGGTCGCGGCAGCTTGGAGCGTTCCATGGTACGCATTACGCAGGGCGTGTCGCAGGAGAGGCAGGCCAGATCCTGCATGACCTTGACGCGTCCGGCAGCAGCGGCGCAATCATCGTTGGTCATCTCCATGTACTTGTGCAGGGCCTCGGCAATGAGGGCGACACGCTTCTCGATCATCTCACGGAAATCCTTGAGGCTCAGCTCGAGCGAATCAATGCCCAGGGTCATGCGCAGACCGTCAATGATCTGGAGAACGTTCTTCTCGTTGACATTGATGATGTAGCGCACCTCGCAGAATTGTTTCTCCAGGCGCTCCTTGTACTCCTCGAGCTGCTCCAGCGACACCTTTGTGGCCAGCTGTGGAAAGTCAACCTTTTCAGCCAGCAGCAGCTCCACATCCGCCTTGTCAATCTTAATCTCGTCCAGATGCGCCACCGAATTCTTAAGCGTCTGTATCTGTGTTGTGGCTGTATTTATCTTAGTTAACATGCCTTGATTTGCCTCCAGATTTCCGGCTGTGGCCAGCTTCATCTCGCGTATAGTCATTTGCATTTCCTGCATCATTTCCATCAGACGCTTCGCGTCCTGCTTCATCAGCTCGGCGGCCAACTCATTGACCTTGTTGGTAAGTGCACAGAAGTCAGACTTGAGCTCCAGCAGCTCGTTGAGCATGCGCTCGGGCCCATAGCAGAGATGCTGGTCAAGTTCCAGTTCCTCCTCGGGCTTGGCCAATTCGGTGGGCGCGCTGGACTCCTCCACTGCCATTTCTTCCTCCTCCTCCTCACCCTCCTCCATGTCCATCTCAATGGCAGCCTCAGCGCTGCTCCAACTGATGGACACCTCATCATCCTCGACCCGCATCAGCATACGGAGCTGACGTGCAATGTTCCGCAGCAGCTTCATACGTTCCGGGCTGGGCTTGCGATCGAGCATCAAATGGGTGACATTGTTGAGCTGCTCCATGGTTAGCTTCAATTGGCCCGTCAGCAAGCTAACGAAGTTCTGAAACTCAAGCTCCTTCTGCTCCTTCATTAGCTCAACCTTCGAGAGGCGTCGCTCCAGCTTGGCCAAGGAACCAATCACAGAGCCCTCGGCACGCGGTTGGGTTCTGTCCAACTTGGAGGTGCGTGAGGAGGCGCGTGAGGCCATGGCAGGCGATGAAGCGGCGCCCAGATCCGTATGCTGCTCCGGCTCCGGGGCTAGCTCCAAATCTGGCTGTGGCTCCGCCTCCTCAGGAGCTGGTGTCGGTGCTCCCGAAGGCTCCGGAGCCGGAGTGGTTGCTTCCGTCACAGCAGCCGTTTCAGCTGGTGCTTCCGCCTCAGCTGGCGCGTCCTCTGCTGGTGCTGCCTCTGCGGTAGCTGCGGCTGGCTCTGCGGCGGCTGGCTCTGCGGCAGCTGGTTCTGCGGCAGCTGGTTCGGCGGCCACCTCGGTGGGTGCTTCATCGTCGTCGGCGCCGGCGTGCAGTCGATACCTGGAGGACTTGCCAACTAGGTACAGGTGCACAGCTACAGCTACGACTCGATTTACAGATAATCTCAAGAAACTTACTCAGACTGCTCTGGAGTCGCATGTTGGCCAGCAGATAGTCATCCTGCTCCACCGCCTCGTCGAGGCATTCCAGTTTGTGGGCAAAGTTCGAGAGCAGCACGTGCAATGCATAGAAATTGACGTGGCCCGACTCCGGTGAGCCGATAGCCACGTCTATGAGATCCTTGTATGTGAAGCTCATCATTGTTGTCCTCAATGTAGTTATGTGATTTCTATTGTCTCTTGGAATTTAATAGCAGCTCAAATGTCCACCAAATTTTTTACTACTCTAACTGTTTGATATTATATAGAACTAAGCTGTTTTTTATTTTTTACCAAAATCTAGAATTAACTGAGAACTGAATAGTTTACTGTGGCATTAATAATACTGAGTGTACATGAAGGATATTTCCAGGCAGGCTGATTTTAAGAATCATATCGAAAAACTTCATTGCTTAAACAGTTGAGTTTCAAAAGTTTAAAAAAGTAAGAAAAAATATAGGGTGCAGCTGAAGATATATAGCTTCAAAGTGCTTATATACCTAAGCTAAATATACTATAGATATCAAGAAATCCTTAAATACCCAAATCATTTTGCATACAAGAACTATGTTGGAATCAAAAATTGATCACGGACATGGAGTAGCTGACAGTTAACAGGGTGTACTGTACTAGTAAGATTTTACTGTACTGCATGTTGTGTGGCACAAAATGACATTTACTCTTAAAATACATGCTCGCTTTTTATTATATATTTAATTTATTTCACTAACCAAAAGAAAATTCACATATTTAATTGTTTAGTGCGAGTATATTACGTTCTCGTTTAGTTAGGCTTCACTGTGCAACAACTTGAAGCACGCACAAGCACACACACACACACACGCGCAGATACCAACACACGCACATTGGCTACGTTATCACAGCACACTGATGCGTGAGGCAAAGCTTTCGGCGAAGCTTTTACTACTGCCAAGCACGGAGGGCCAAACTTGAACGTTAACAAATTTTATCATTACGGCACAAACGCTTGTTGCTTCAACGTGTGCTGCGTCCGTTACCAAATTATATTTGTTGCATCAACACAATTTGGCGCGCGTGACAAATTTGAAAAGCGAAATGATAATCAAAAAAAATAAAAACCAAATTAGTTTAAAAATAGCGCAAATATTATAAATTGAAAATGCAAATGGAAAATTCAAATTAAAAGAAAATGTGCGTGTGCAGTCAACTATTATAAAATCATATTCAATATCATATTTGCATAGAAAGTGTGTGTGGCATAATTTACACGTTTTTGCATATACAATTGAATAAATTTTTTTTTTGGAATTCAATGAATTTGAGGGAAAAAAAAGCACAACGGGCCATGTGAAAATAAACAAAAGTTCTGTGAAAAAAATAAATTAATAATTGCTTTTAAGTTTTTAAATGAAAGAAATCGTTTAATCACAATTGGCCGAAACAAAGTGTTGCGTATTTGTATGGGCCACAATAGTTAAATGGACAAGTGTTGTGAAACGACAACAAATACAAATACGTCAAGTGTTAACTCAGTGTCAACAAAATCTAATGACCAATTCTGGTAACTCTTTAGAGTGAGCAGTTAATAAAAAACCAAAAAAAAAGAAAAACAACCTTATTTAAAAGTAAATTGACACAACTCTGAAGTGGACTATTCTGTTAAAACTGATGTGGTAAGTGCACAAACATAGGTCCCACTGTAATTCGACTATTTTATATTTGCCTGGCAATATTTTCGAGAAATTAGTTGAGAGTCTAGTTGAACTTTTATTGTTCAATTCAAAGTATACCAGACGGCAGATGCTCTGTACCAAGCGTCGAGCCGTCCCTTAAACTAGACGATTATATATTCTTTACATAGATTACAATACATTCACAAACACATACACAAGCACGCACTTAAAGTCGTTACAGTGCTTCTTCTTGCACTAGACCCTTGCCATAGGAAGTGCATTCTTGAAAATATGATATACAATTGCTTGTATATACGAAAGCAAAAGGCTCTATCCTTAAAATGAAGATATATTCAATTAAGGGAAATAATTTCTAATTTCTAGAGTCGGAAATACCGCTTTGTGCACATTTTGAATTATGTTAATTTCAATATGCAAACGTCCGGAATCAGAAATGGGGAAACTTGCGGGAATTTCAAAAAAGTTACCCTTTTGGTTTATATACATAGTTTATAGTACATGAGTGCACAATTTTTGGCTGCGAATTGGTAAACGGAATCATGGCTGGCAGCAGACGTTTGGCCTTGATTAGATAGCAACAGCAAGGCACAAAAATAATAAGTGCAGAAGAAGAAATTCTGTTTAGCCTCAGCTAGCCGAATATTTAATGCCCCTACCTCTCTATATTTACGGTATATAGCACAGTATAACAATTTTAATCAAAGTTTAGTAGTAGACAGTATTTGGCAAAAATAAAATTGTTTTCGATCAGTTTAGATTTGAAAAGCATAAGGCTTTTACTAAAAGATTGCGTCTATCATATTAATAGAATTCTAATCGAAACACTTAAACCATAATAGTTTATAATAATTCGATTAAAAACCTGGATTTTTAAATTGATCAGTTTTAATTATTATAAACTATATATAGTATACATATTTGTATCTTTATATATTTAATGTTTCATTAGTTGATATTGATGTAAGTCTTTTGTGTTTAAAAAGAAATATATATTTCTTTATCACGATCCTTATTCATAGCAGCTATATGATCAAGTAAAGTAATCTATTCGATTATCGCCGACTCCGATTTTATTTTTTTGCATTGCTAGCAGTTTCTTTATAGTGGAGTATAAAAAGAGAGAGAGTGAGAGTGAGAGTATTGAGTATATAGGTCAAACCTCAATTACCCTGTAATTTGCTACAAATGAAATTTACCAACAACTAAGTTATCTGTGACTGATTTACGCATAGGATAATTGACTGAGCTCCATGTCGTTGGGTCAGTCCAGTCATCAATCTGAGAATCATGATTTCAATTGCTTCGACTGCGCAATAAATTTTGACTTGACGCTGAACTCAAGACAATCGACATATATATACATATATGTATATATATGATTGTATGGGTTGCGCAGTACGGGGCGTGGCTCGGGACTGGGGCTGGTGCTGTATCTGTGTTTAGGTGCAACTAATTGGGTTTTTTGACATTATGCCATGGGCTTTTGAACTGTATCGGAGGGCACTTGAGCAACAGCCCGGCCACCACTGTCTTGATGCATAGCCCCCTGACACCATTGTGCACAGTGGCACAGTCTTATAAACAAATTATTATTGTCTTTATGGCCTTTTAGTTCTGACTACTGCGTGCTTTCACACTTTTTTTTTGGTTTAGATTGTGCGGCGCTGTGGGTAATTTTATTTTTTATTTTTATTTAGTTCTTTTTGCGGACAAATTAAGCAACGGCCACTTGAAGTGATAAGCAGCGACGCCATTTTCTACGTGCGTATGCATATGTGTGCGTGTGCGTGTGTGTGTGTGTGGGTGTGTGTGTGTCGATTACTTATCGAATTGGCAGCTACCTTCCAAATACAAAATTTTTGGGAGAGGTCGCTCTCCCTCTGTCTGTCTCTTTCTTTCTCTCTCTTTCTCTCCCTCTCTCTCTATCTTTTTGGGCTGTTGCTGCTTCTGTTAGAATGTTTAAAAGCATATTATTTATTATTATAGAACACTTGCCCAGTCGCAAAAACAAATTTATACATACTTCAACACACAGACACACACACACATACACACACACACACACATGCATACATATACTAATAAATATATATGTATGTATATATACCTATGAAGGTAATTTGTAATCTAAATAAACAGGCACTGAAATTGATAAATTAAGCTTGAACTCCTGGGCTGGTTGTTGGTCTTGTATTTAAAAATTAAATTTTAAAATTTTAGTGGCACGTTTATTTACAGGGATGCCCACTATTTATTTATTGTTTTTAGCCAACAAATATCCCGCTGAGCCGTAGGCCAGATTTTGTTTTCATTTTATTCAATCAAAACGCGTCAAACTTTTGTTAATGAACGCCCACACACATGTACATACATACACATATGTTATGTGCCCCATGCAATGTAAACAAATTGTTAAATAAAATAAAAATGAGTTCATAAATACAACAGAACAAACAAAATGTGCAAAATGAGCGGACGTGTACTTTTTCTATGAATGAACACAGGCCAAACGTATTTTGCTCTCTTTCGACTTGACTCTGTCGAGAGAGCATATTTTCTATCAATTCTTTACTATGTCTTGTTCGTAAACGTTGCTTCTTAGATTCGAACCGCCCTAATAAATCCATTTATTTGACATTTACTATGTAAATGCATAAAAGTGCCTCACTTTAAGTGCCTCACTTCAAGTGCCTCACTTTACTGCAATTCCCAATATATTTTATTAATTGTAATATGCATTAAATATGAATTAAAAAGATCTTTAAAATAGTCTCACTAAATCTTCTAAGTAATTAAAATGTTTAACATTTTAACTGCAATATTTATACACATGAGAGAGACTTTAAAACTGTTTGTGCGAGTGGAAATAAATAACGCTCAGCTAAGCGTTTAAAGGATTAATAACAAACAACTGAAATGCAGTAAATACGATAATATTGAGTCAATTCATGTTACCTGGCAACTACAGGAATTTCTCACTAAAAATGATTTCACGCCTGCAAATCGCAGGTACTGTTTTTTTTCCGTATTTATTTAATGAAATTGGAATTACATATTATACGGGCAATGCTGAACATTTGATTGCAATAACATTGTTTTATCTGCTGTTGACATTTGCTGATTTTAAAAGTTCGCAACGATTTGTAAGGCCGTAGGTATAATACACACACACACACACACACACACACACACACACACACACACACACGCACACACACACATACACACACTCAAACACACATAAAAGCAGCTGCGTCAATCACACAGATAAAACAACGCAACTTTGAAAAAAGTTAAATCAGAGTTTTTCCAAATTGTTTAGCACATGAAAACAGGCATATTAAAAACTAGAAAAAAAAAAATAAAATAAAAACCAAACATTTCTAAACAATTTTCAGCAAAAGGCAGCTTTACTGCATGCACATTTTTCAATTTTAAAATAACATTTAAAATACACATAACGCACGTCTGCCCGCAACCTACCAAAGGTAAATTGTGCGAGCTGTTAACATTTTAAATAAAGCAATAAATAAAAACAATATCCATTTAAATTTTTGTTCAATCATTTAGTAAATCAATTTAACAAGCAACAAGAAATCATACCTTCAATTAGAGAACTTATATTCCGTTTACACAGAAACAAATCCAATTAAAAACAATTGTGAATT